ATATCAGAGGGCTGCTTCTTTCCCTACTGGTTTTATGTACATGAGTCAAATCATTGAGTCTTTTGGGTCATTGTTGAAAGGGAGGTATATTGATCCTTGAGGACAACAAGCTTAATAGAATTAATTCTTTGCCAAAAAATGTTAGTGGGCCTGTTTATAAGGTAAGGGCCTGTAATGAGGGCCAGGAGTAATCTTTAGAGGGTCCGAAGAGTCCTGGACTCTCTATTTTGCCTGGGCTGTCTTAAGCCGGGTGTGATGAAGCCACGTCAGGATTCTGTCGACCTTGACTGTCGTAGGGGTGATCCTTTCCGGGTAGGAGTCAGTCCTTGGGTGGCAAACTTCTTTACCCAAATAGAGTCAGCAGGTTGGAAGGGATGAACCGGATCAGATGTTGGTATAAGCAGAGCATCTCGAACATGCTTCCGGACTGCTTTCTGGGTGGACTGTAAAGCCTGTAAGAACTCGAGTAAAGATTGGTTATGGATTTCAGCTTTTCTAGTTTGGGTTTCCGTGTAAGCTGGCGAGGTGAGTAGGTCAGGGTCTGGAAGAGTCACTAGAATCTGTAGAGGCCCCACTGGTTTTAGGGCAGCCTCCTGAGAAGCTTTATCTACAGCCTAGTTCCCTCTTGCTTCTGGGGAGTCCCCTTGTCTTACATACATAGAGGTGGAAAGACTTAGTTACATCTGGTAGTGCAGTTGGCCCATCGTCCTTGCTCTGCTCATGTCTGTCTAACTGCCTACTATATTACCTCCAGGATCCTGGCTCTGAATTCTTTCAGGGATAATGGATGTTGGATTTCTTCTGTAATTACTTCCTGCTGAGGTGGGTCAGAGGTTGCTCTCAGAGCCAAGAGATCCTTGCTGTCTGTCAGAGGGACTATGAGGCCTGGGCACAGAAGGAGGTGGGCTTGTGACCTGGCAGAGACAAACTGTAACAAATGGTCTGGTGGAAGGGAAAGAAAACATTTCAGTTTTAATAACCTTTATTGAAATAGACTTTTTCCTCCTTGAAAGTACTCCTCTGTTTATTAAAAGACTAATTTATTTACTGTATTTAATTTGGCCTGATTGTTTGCATAAACACAACAAGAATGGGAACTGACTACCTTTGCCGGAATTTCATGATTGAATGTTAATGTGCCCCGTAGGGCCAGGAAGCCAAGCCATCCAGCTGCCATCAGGCCTGCCTGCAGTATCTGTTGAGTTAGGTGAATTCCTCACCTGCAGTGGCTCTACCTGGGCCCATTGTCCTTGAGATAAGGCCCTTGTCAGCAGCCCTACTACTCGTCCTGGCCCAGAGTGCGTGGGGGTTCTGCAGGGACGCAGAGGCGCCCTTATTGCTCCCCTTCTATTCTGACCAACCGCCAGTGATGGTAGGGCATGGGCCTGATACTCCAGCACCAGCTATTTTCAGGGCTACCAAGCAGGATACCAGGCTTTCTCCATGGCACTCTTATTGGCTTCAAGTCTTCAGAGTTCAGACAGGGCTCTTTAAAACATGGTACTCCAGTCAAAGTTTTCGGTCAATAAAACCACTACTGGAAACCAGCCTTATTGAATTTATGCAAAGAAATGTATTGCCATGATTCATTAAGCATTGCTAAATTTCAGAGGAATTGTATAAGGAGAAAAATATACTGACCTGCTTTAAGATCTTCCGACTTTCCTTGGCAGTTCTTTTTATGGACTCTCTAGAGTTATAACAAAACAGTAACTGTTGAATTTCTTTTATCAGTTCCCCCTAAGTACTTTGGCATAACTATTTACTCTCTGTTTAGGGAGGCAGAATGTAAATTATTTACTCTTCCTGGCTTACTGGCCTGTAATATTTGATTAATTTCCTTTTAACATTTCTTTTCTCCTTCTTATTACATACCCAACCTTTAGAAATTTTACACGTCTAAATTAGCCTTTAAACCTTCTTTCTATGTCCTTTAAAAATGTATAACCATGCCTCAGACCTTCTACTCAGTAATTCCATATTCTTAGAAACATCAATCCTTTAATGATTACTAAAAAGTAAACAGCCAGTATTTCTTAGATTACTAGAGCAGGTAAATTAAAATTTGTCTAGTAAAAACTGCTATATTTTTCCTATGTAAGTTCAAGTATATTGCATTGGTCTGATTTAGTATTGGAAGGGTTAAAGAGAACAAAATGTAGCAGAGAAAAACTTGTGCTTAACAAGTAAAAATCAACAAAAACCTATCTCTCCCTGCTCTCCCCGCTGACACCCCCCACTTTTCTGCATTAACTATTTACTCTGAGCTGCTCTCCCTCCTAGATTTTGCCTTCTTTACTCTAAGCCCCAGAGGCTCAAATCCTTCTCCTCCTGTACCACTTGTGATCTCTCTGACCGTCCCCCTATCCCCCAGCCTCGGGCTCCTCCATCTCAGCAGGCTGAGAGCCTATCACCCTATCTAGCGAATCCCACCACCACCCCATCTCACACCCACTCCTGAGAAGTTTTCAGCTCTCTTCCTCCCCCAGTCAGAACGGATGCTGTCCCCAACAGAGACCCACTGTGCACCTATCAGGAAGGGCAGGCAGGTCACAGGTCTCGGGACCACATGATAAAAGTCCGGCAGTCTCTCTCCCTCACCCTACACAGGCCATGAGAAAATGTACTAATCTTAACCCAATAAGCCTTTGTTTAAACTTCTCTGGGTTGCAACCTTCACAAATTTTATACCGTTAATTAACATTAGACTTCTAAAATCTTAACCTAACAGAGCCAAATTACACATCAGCGGAAATCAATTAAAAGTTCTCTACTGTCCTCCCCCTAAGCGGAGTTTGCCCTATCTTTAAACAAATTGAACAACAGAAAGATAAAACAAATACTCGCATGTGGACAGCCAGACGGCACAAAGGAGCTTTCTCTTCACACAGACTCTCACACTTACATTCATACACCAGATACTCTGAGTTTTTACTTCTACCACATGTTGACTCAGAGTTTAAACAGTCCACCTGATTCCTGATTAATTTGCCTGAGGAAGTCCCATGACCTCCAGGGAGGTGATCAGGCCCCCCTTCCACTCACTGGGAGTGGGCTTGACTGATAGGGCCCCTCCCTTACAGTTTCTGTTCACAGGTCCAGAAGTGTCCGTCCACTCTCTCCAGATGCCAGCCGGGTCCTGGGCTGAGGTCCGGGAGTGCCCAGAGTACCCAGTTCAATTCTGCTAAATCAGCAGAGTGGCGCCTCCCGGAGGTCTATCTGGCTCCCCTGGACCCAAACCTGGTCCACTCACTGGAGGCCAAAAGGCCAGCATGTTTGGTCTTCTTCTCGGTCAGGGAACCATTAATGTTCCAGAAGACCTGAGAAAAAACCAGCGACGCTTAGAGAAAGGGAGTTACATTTTATTATTCAATTCTGTGCAGGTCCAGAAAAAACAAAAAATGTCTTTCAAATTCTAGGCCACCCAACATGGAGGAAACTCTCTTTACTGATGCTTTTTCTAGTCCTTTGTCTCCCAAATTTGGAATGAGTCTTCCAGGCCTTCTGAGAAAGAAGGCCTGCATGCTGGGAAGGGGCCATGACACCATATCTCAAGGCCTGGCCTGGTGTCAGCATTGACAACTCTGTCTGGGGCATAGTTAACGGCCTGTCTGGAATGGGAGTAGTATTACTTTCCTTTTTATTTAAGCAAGCAAGTATTTACAGAAGCCAAAATAGCAGGGTTAAAATTTCAAACAGCAGTTTTTATATAAGATGGATGCTTCAGTGCGAGGCCCTGTGAGCAGCACCAGCGGGGGCCTTGGCCCTTCCCGTTGGGATCCCAGCCTGTGTCTCTCAGGCTGTGGCAAGAGCTGGAGAATCCTGCGTCCACCGAGCACAGGCTGCAGACTGAGCACATCCTGTGCTTCAGAAAAGAGGCAACTGAGTGTGCGTGTTTCCCGATGAGACACACACACAGTCACTGAGGCCGCGAGGGGCATCACTGATAACATGGGCACCATCGGCTACGCTCTCAGTCATGTGGGCATCATGTGCCCTTCATCATGGGAGACGCTGAGGACTAATGAGACGTCCTCTTCCTGGAAACATGGGGACCATGGCCTAGGCTCTCAGGTGCAGAAGAAGGGCCGGTTCCCCTTCCTGTGGGAGGTCACTGTGGTGTGGATGCCCAGGCGCATTGCAGGGAGGGCAGCTCTACCCCCAGGGGACGGGGTAGGAGCCTTGGGCACAAGCCGAGAGGGACGAGGGCAGGACGATGACGATGGCTGTGCAGATGGAAAGGACAGGCTGTACGAGGGAGGGGGCCGTGCAGGGAAACGGGGTGGCTCACAGGTGTCAGGACTCAGATGACCTGCAGTGGGGTCATAAGCCCCCAAACGTTCCATGCCCTAAGCCCTGGACTTCCCTCTCTTCTCTATGGGGACTTTGCAGCTGTGATAAAGGTACAGATTCTGAGTGTGGACCACAACCCTGGATTTCCTGGGCCTGCTCTCTGCCATCCCACATGTGGGGGAGGAGGAGGCAGAGGTTTCACAGGAAGGAGGCGCAATGGCAGCTCCGTTGGGCCCTGGAGCCCATGCAGCCAGACAAGGACTGGCATCCGCCTCCCAGTGGGAAGCCGCCAAGAAGAGCTTCCCCATGGACTTGCACAGCCAGCACGGCCTCCGCACCCTCGGGTCTGGGCAGAGAGTGAAAGACCGCAGCCTCCTGTCCTGGCCCCTGGGACAGACTCCCCTGACCACAGTGCACGGCGGGCCTGGCAGCAGCCGCTGGAAAGGAGTCTGAGCGCTCAGGTGTGCGGCTGGCTGAGTGGATGGAGGTGCGGAGCCTGCGTGGCTCATGCAGGGCCTGGGCCTGGGAGGCCTGTGCAGAGATGCGGGCTGGGCCCTGAGCCAACGTTCCCTCTGTGATCCGTGCCCTCAGGCTCCAGGTCACTGCCCATCGGGTCAGCCTGATGCACTGTTGTCACCACCCAAGGCCCCCTCATGATGCCCCCCACCCACGGCCAGAGACTGGGATAAAACAAGACAGGCTGGACGTGCAGGGCAAGTGATTTATTGAAGCAAGACGTTGAAACCTCTACATTTTCCAGGGAAGATCAGGGCATCATTGAAAGCAGGGGTCCTCGTAGGTGAGGTTTGTTGAATCTATTTGTTGCACTTTTTCGCGATAGCCGTCTGAAACAGACACAGAGAGAAAGGGCCGTCAGTCCCGCTGCCCCTGGAGATGCCACGGGCACAGCGTGTGCTCACAACCAAGATGGGAAGAGGGCAGGCCAGTGGGAGACGGGCGGACAGGGTGCTGGTGGGGATTCAATGGTCCCCGTGCAGCCCCAGCAGCAGACACATCAGGGAAGAGCCATGGCCACAGCCGGATGTAGACACCGAGGAGCCCAGGAGTGGCCTCGGGTTTCTGATGGAGCCGGAGGGGGACAAGGGGGCAGAGAGCCCCGGATTTGCTTTCTCTGAGTCCCAGGTCCCAGGTCGGGACTGTTCACTGGAGAGTGGATGCGGGGGGGAGGGCCAGGCGGGAGGGGCCATGGGAGGATCTGCCTGCGGAGATCTGCATCCCCGGCGGGACATGCAACCTGGTGGCGCGCTGACATGTCCACACTGAGGCCCTGCCTGTGGGGACTCCTGCTTAAAGCCCGACCTGGTTCAGGGGCGGAGGAGCTGAGACACACCCCCTCCCCCCAATGTCTGATTTCCTCAGAGAGACAGGGAGGCAGTCAGCTCCACCCTTGGCTACAGAGGACAGACTGGGAGGGGCCCTGCCCTCTGGCCTGCTGGCTGAGGAGGGACAGGGGCGAGGGGACAGGGACTGGGCCTGGCTCTGCAAAAGCTGCCAGAGCCCCGCCTGCCTCCCTCCTCACAGGGCGGGGCCAGCTCCCTGCCTCCCCTGCCTCCCCCTGCGCACCCCCACCCCATGGCATTATTCCCCAGGGACAGTGCCTTCTGCCTCCAGTGAGGGACCTCGCCCTCCAGAACTCTCCCAGGCAGGGAGGCAGCAGGGTCTGGCCCTTCACCATCACCGCCTGGGCCCTGGCTGTCCCCCCTCAGGACACGTGGGGAACCTGGAGCCCAGGGAGGGGCCTGCAGAGGCTGTGCAGCCTGAGGCTGGCCCAGGGGGTGTCAGGTCACCATCCACCCTTGGCCACGGGCCCCTCTCTCAGAGGTGAGCAGAGGGACCGGTGCCCCCCGCCTGTGCCCCCCAGAGCTGCACCCTCCTCCCGCCTGGCCATGCAGCTGAGCAGCAGCCTCTATGCAGAAGGACAATGGAGTTACCACAACGTCATAAATTTTGTGTCTGTCGCTAAAGGCCATCCGATTTACACAATCCTTCACAGCCATCGTGGACGCATAGGCGGGTTCAGGTGCCGGAAACGTCTTGAGGATGCGATAAAAGAGCGGTTTAATGTCCAACACGAAGCCTCTCACTTCGTTTTGAAGGGCTGGACAGACTTTGGCATTTGCTGGAGGAGAAGAAAAAGAAACACATTGGATGTAGGAAAGTCACTTTCCCCACGGCTCCCTGACCTCAGACCTAGACAGGAACCCCAGGGGCTTATGGTCTCCTCCCATACTTGTGCCCAGAAAAATGCATCTCCCCCAAGTCCTCACTGGCGCCGGGTCACAGAGCATGCAGCAGAGCCCGGATGGAGCACAGGTGACCACCCCTGGTCAGTCTTCCCCTTTGTCAAGTACACCCAGGCCTTCCCAAGAGTCCCCTGCTTTGCCCCAGTCACTGTCCCTGGATTTCAAAGCCTCAGCTTTGCCCCTCAACAGAGCCACCCCTGCCTTTGTCTGGTACTGGGGGAGGGAGCTGTTAGCCCTCAGTCTTTCCAGGGAAGGGTAGGGTCAGGTCCTGGCAGAGGGCCGAGGGGGAGGCAGTAAATGCGGAGAGGAGGGAGGAATGCTACTAAGGGATGGAGGATGCCCTTGGAGGCTCAGTCTAGCACTGGGATCATGTCATGGGACAGAGAGGGCTCAGGCTTAACCAAGGAAGTCTGTGAGTGTCACACCTGACGCTGAGGCCAGACCACGACTGGCTCTTTGGTTCCGCCCTGAGGACAGAACCCCCTGGAGGGGGCGCAGGGACTGGGCTGACTTTCCACCCAGTGGGTTGTGCTGAGACCTGCAGGAACCACTTCTGGGTCAGGATTCTCCATCCCCACCCTCAGGCCTCTGCCAGCGCCTGCAGCTGGGACTGTGCCCACCAGGCCCCTCCCACCTGGGAGACAGCCGCTCTGCAGGGAGGTGGAGGGTCAGGTCAGAGGTCACGTGGGGAGAGAGGAGCGGGTTCAGACAGTCAGATGGAAGAGACTCAAAAGGACTTGGCTTAGCCCCGAGGGCGTGAGGACACGCCCAGCATTGCTGGCCACTGGCCACATTCACCTGGAAAAGGGCAGTTGCGGCCCTAGCGTTTCCACTGGCTCTACACATCCTGGCTGGGCCCCTGGAGGAGGAGCGGGCCTGTCGAGCCCCTGAGCGCCTCTGGGTCTCAGAGCCACGTGGACACTGGCCACTCTGAGCCTCAGGCGGCACTGCTCCTCTTGAACGGAGCCCTCTCCTGCTGGAACATTCTCTGAGTCTGAACCTAGGAGTCCAAGAGTCTTGGGCTCACCTGGCACCTAAGAGACCCTGGTGAGGAGACGTCGGTGAGACCAGGGCGGCCTCGGACCACCTCCTCTCCACCATCGCCCCAGCTTCTCTCCTGGGCGCTGGGATCCAGGGAGGAGAGGCCTGGGGAGATGCAGCCTGTGTTCCAGGCCACAGCGCTGCAGGGGCAGGACCCTGACTCACGAGAAGGTGACTCTGTCCTGCTGTTTCTGCGACACAGACCAGGCGGCAGTGGGGCCTCCCACGGGACCGCCCACACTGGCCTGCGGGGGTTTCTGTAGAAGTTCCAGAGCCCCGGGATCGGATACCCCGAGTGCTGGGCTTTGGGGGCTGGTCCACAGGGCGAGGGAAAGGTTAATTCTGACCCCTCTCCATCCCCATGTAAGTCACCTGGACCGGAGAAGGGCCCTTCCCGGCTGATGGTGTCTGAGTGGACGTGACACTCACCGTCAGAGCAACAAAGGGCCAGAGTGACCAGCAGCAGAGACAGGGCCAGCTTCATGGTTCCTGCGGCTGAGCGTTCAGCTGAGCAAACAGTGAGCGCTGAGGAGCTGGACTGAGCAGCCTGGGGAGCCCAGGGCTATTTGTACCCAGTGAGCCTCACTGGTCCTGCCACAGGGGACGGGGCAGGTCACAAGGCCTGGCTTCCAGCCACCCTTCCTCACGGACGGCTGATGCCATCCATCAGCGTCACAGCCCGGGGACTTGGTCAGAGCGGGACTTGCTGGCACCAGGCACGGCTCCCTGGGCACCGCCTGAGGTGGGAGGGTCACAGTGCGCGCCCCGTCGGTGGGGGGAGCCCCCTGGGGTTCAGCTCCTTAAGTGCGGACAGGGTCCGCTTTGCTCTTCCCTCAGCCCAGGGCCTGGCACAGAGAAGAGGGTCAGCACATGTTCCTGCGGGAGATGTGTGACCCTGAGTGAACGAGCTCTCAGTGTGGCTGGGCTGCACCCTCAGAGTAAAATGGTGCCCGCTGTGCCAGGGCTGCTTTGGGCAGTGGAGGGAGTAAATCCATGGTGTCTGCTTCCATAGAGAAAACAGAGCCAAGAGGAGGACCACCCTCCCACTGCCACCTTCCTACTCGAGCGCCTGTGGAAAAGCCATGCACACAACTTCAGATCCATCAAC